GGTGGCCAATCAGCAGTTCATAAAAGTTACTTGAAGCACAAAGCAAACATTTTTCGGGAAAGCAAAATGTTCCATTGGACAATGTTTATCTATTTGAAACTTTGCATACAATTAACACCCAGGAGACATATATCGAGAAAGGCATCTGTTCCCGCAGGCTATTTTGGAATTTGACTCAGTCATTTTCAAGCAGCTAGATATTGTACAGTAGACTCCTGATAATTCGAACCTTCAAGGGAAATAGAAAAAAAGTTCCAGTTATCAGGAGTTTGAGTTATTGAGGGTAAAACTATATAGGAAACGATCTAAAGGGAAATGAAAATTGCTTCGAGTTAGCAGGAGGTTCAAGTTATAGAGGGTTTGAGTTACCAGGAATCGACTGTATAAAAACTCATGACTAACTTATCTCTGGGATGTTGTGTGTACATCAGATTAAGTGAGTTAATTCATGTTTTGAAAGCTGTCACCATTGCGACTAGTGAACACTTAAACTTATTGACAATTTTTGTGGTTATAGTCACTTTTTGGATGCTATTAATGGTGTCCTCTGAATGGAGGTTAATCACCCAGGTTTCTGGACTCAGAAAAAGTGTCCCTTTCTCCTGAATAGAGGTGTCTTTAACAGAGGTAACAAATAAAACGTTGTTGCAGGCCTGGGCCAAATTTCGCGTCCCCTGATGAATGGAGCTGTCCCTTGAACAGAGGTCAAAAAGGAGAGGTTCTACTGTAGAAGAAATGTATGAAAGACCTCCTGTGACCTTTCATTCATTGCCTCTAATTTATTTTATGCATGAAAAAATTTACACCAAAATAATACGAGAAAGTGGGAATCCATCTTAACAAAGAGTCACAGAATGTTACAGTAAAGTTTTATTTCATTTAGTACAACTACAAAGACAATAGTGACATTATTGCCAGTGACTATGTTTTAAAAATTCTGTTGGTGAGAATGTTATGATTTTTACTTATATTAAGAAAAAAAAAGAGAAAGAAAACCTTTTAACGTGAAAGCTCTGTATCTTTCTTATATTCATTGTTTAGCTAATAAATTATTATTTAAAAATAGCAATAATATTGTACATCAATAAATAAAACATTTTCTCTAGGCCAGTTCTCATTTTTTTCATACAAAATTATTTTTTTTCTGATTGTAAAATATGTACAGTTATTTTGTTTTTTTTACTCACCTTGGAGGTGACAAGAGGATAAAATAAACACGATATCTACCTGAGCATTTTCTCATGATCATTAAGTGGTCTCTTGTTACCATAAGTTTTTTGTAAGAGTGCTCACAAATTGCTATTAAATTATAAAATTATCATATGACTTGTACTTTAATGTTCACTCTCTCCGCCCTATTTGAAGGTCAACAATACTCTAAAATAATGGGGATCTCTTAAATCATACACAGGACAGCAAGACACAGGAAGGGCCAAGTGCAGTTGTCTTGTGTTGTGTGAGTTTGGAAGGGGCTGAAATGTTGTGAGCCATATATCATGCATTCTTTCTGAAACATCTCAAAAAAATTATTTTCATAAAGCATTCATCTTTTGTGAAGTTGGGCTCAACCCTGATATCTTGTACAGGCATGACACATTACTCTTTTACTCTGGGAGTCACCTTTAAGGCTACGGGTCACAGCAGTGTCATCATGTTACATACGGCTGCTGGATTAGTTCTAAGTTCACAACTGGCTCTTCATTTGATGTTATCCGTCTGACAAGTTGTTCACTCAGTTGCCACAACTTTGCAGCCATGTCTGGGTTCTTTGCTTCCTCTGATGGCAAACACACAGAGCAGTTGTTGAAATAATGTCCTCCCACTCTATTAAGCTCCTTTGATGTAGCACAATATACAACAGTGGCTGCTCCTTGGGCCTGAAAATTACGTCAAAACACATTGCTTAGCACTCAGTGGAGCTGTTGGTCTTTGGACAGCAAACTTCAGGACCTTAAAATACTGAAACTTAATTCTCAGATAACTTAATAATACAGCTGTAGGGTCTGGAAGGGGGATCCTGAACCTGCATTCCCAAGCCCTAGCATTTCAATTCCCATGGAAAACAGTCTTTCGCTTCCGTGCCCAGAGATCATGGGAAACCACTTGTAACAATTTTTTTTAGCATGGTAAAAATTCATGGGAACCCAACTCTAAAATGTTTTCAATTTTTTGGTAGTCATACACTTTTTTCTTGGCACTGGATCCCATAAACCAGTAACTTTCAATGCACTTTGGAAATGATTCAAGATGATAAAGATGATAGATGCTAATCTTAAGTTTTAGTTTCGTACATAACCCAAGTTAAGAATTGCTCTACTGGCTTAGAATCCATGTGGAAAAATAGTGAAATTCTGTAAATTGATCAAGGCTGAAACTGTTTTTCGGTTCTGTTATTTTAAGACCACGGTAACGACACGGTACCAGAAACAATCATTACTGTGGAATCCTAGGGCATGCATACCTGCTCTTTCTGAACTTGTTTCATCTAATATAATTCCAATCATTGTCTTTTTCAATCCACATATTCCTTAACCCTTTAAGTCCCAATAGTGACCAACATCAATTTTCTCCCAACAATATCCATACAATGTGAAAAGAGATAAGGTTATGAGAATTAACAAAATGATCGCATAAGGGAAAATGTTTTGATCTTTATCAAATTATCTCAATTCATTCATGAAAGAAATGTATAGAGATCAGTTTGGAGAATTTGTATGTGGATATTAGGGCTTAAAGGGTCAAACTGGTGAATCCCGCTTCCCGGGCAGCAGTCATATCCTGTACCTGCACCACATTTTGGTCAAATCCTGGATTCTCAGAATAGATCCCCTCCCACCCAGACCCTGACCTAACTGTTTCGCCCATGAAGTCAAAAAGTATGTAATTTTATATGATTGCAGGAAGGAATCATGCACTAACCAATGAATTTGTAAATCACTTCTTGCTTTTTGATTGGCTGTATTTTTTGTGTCGGCTGGGATGAATTTGGGTGGTCCTAATAAGCTCTGAGTCAATAGCCCATGAGGCCGAAGGCCAAATGGGCTTTTGACTCAGAGGCCATGAGTAAAATCCAACTAGTTGGTCAAAAATATTGAGACAAAACAACTTTAGCTAGCAAAACGCGATTCAACTGCCATTGCTTTGGTTTTCAAAGCCGGCACTTTTCGCTACTAGTGGGCTATAACATATAGCCTAGTAGTAGCTCAACCAATCAGAATGCACTAATGTCATATAGTCTTGAACCTTCCACATCTTCAGTAGACTGGCCAAGTCATGGAAAAATTATTTGTCATTTTTAATACCTTTCTGATAGGTGAATTAAATCCTTTTGCATTACCCAGTGCCAGATCCAGACCTTGAGATGATAATGGGGGGGAGGGTGGTCTCCCAAAAATTTTTTCGGCCCTTTATAGGCCTCAGTTTGGTCTAAAAATAAGGGGGGGCCTGGGCCTCTCCCATGATCTGCCAATGTTACCATTCAAATGTAACCTCTTTGACAGAGCTTTTGCACGGTAATATTTATTTCTAAGAATTTTACCACAAGAAATTATTGACAAGTTAGCATTTTTCAGTTACTATAAAGGATGAGAGGGTTCACTTACAGCTGTCTTGGCAAAGGGCCTTGCCATTAGGAACAACAACCAATAAAACCAAGAGTTCTTTGGCAGTGATGTGTAGATAAGATTGCCAGGATGCACTGCATTGCATGTGACTCCTTTTGATTTCAGACGGCGATTGAGCTCCATGGAAAACAACAAGTTGCAAAGTTTGGACTGGTTGTAAGCAACAATAGACCAGTATTTGTCTTTGGAGAGTGGAACATCTGATAGATTTAACCTTTTGGAGTAGCTCAAGTCAGGAAACCTGGTAAAACAAACATAAATAATCAGCCGTACTTTTGCTGCCTCTATTGAAATATTTCTCTTTCATTTTTGTTTTTCTAATGCCTCTTGTCATGGCCAAAATCATTCTTCATTCACCATGAATTTTGTAACACTGATCATTTTGTTTGGGCTGCCTTTGCTTTACATCACCATGCATATAATAATCAAAAGTCTAGTATTCAGATGTCAGTGTGGATCAGGTCACTTTCAGAATACTGACTTGAACAATAAAATAATGAGGTTGAGCATTGGTGCCCTGGAGGATAGAGGTGGCAAGCTCAAGAGATGAGCACAATGTATCCATAGCAACCAGAGAGGGGTAACCACCAAACCACACCTCCAAGGTGCTTAGGAAGCATTTAATAAAGGATCTGTAAACTGACGAGGAAGGGCCCAGATCACCAAAGCAAACCTACAAGCACATGTAACTACACCAACTTAGAAACAGAAAGGAGAACAATACTAAATTTCACTAAACTACAGAAGTGATATATACCAACCTGTGGGATTCAGAAGTGAGAACAACTACTCTGGCAGGAGAAGAGGAACAAAGAATATCCCCCAATAACTGAACCAAGTAAAAATGACCAAGGTGATTGATTCCAAAGGTGCTTTCAACTCCATCTTCTGTCTTTTTCCATGATGAACTAAATACTGCAGCATTGCAAATTAAGATGTGAATCGGGCTGTTTAAAATGGGAAATGAAACAAAGACATTTTAGAAACATGTATCTGAAGGGCCTTTGGATTTCTATTCAAATAGAGATATCATATATTGTTATAGCTGCCATTGAAGTAATTAAAGTAAAAAATTTAGCTAAACTTCAACACCTCCAGTTCCCATGCAACCTGTTGGGAGGTCACCTGATTATAACTACAAAAAATATTGGTCTACTTTGTGGAATTTTCTGGAAGTCTCAGTCAGCGTAATGAAAACATTTGATATAGGCAAATTATGCATTTTTTTTTTTGGGTGGGGGGGGCTATATTTTGCCTTATACTCTTTTTAGATTCAAAACAACACTAACAATTTTAATAATTTGGGAGGTTCTGCAAAAGAATTATTTCAAAGCAAAATCATTAATAACCCTATTAGTATTTATGCATGCCTGTTTTTGTCTAGATAATGTACTTTTTAATGAGGTGTGTCCCTGTGGATTAATGCAATTAAAACAATTAAATTGATTTGACATCAATTATGTGAGATCAAACCACCACATACAAAATCAGAAGCTGTGTTATGAATAAATCCAATGTTGCAAAAACATTAAATTAAGACTTACAGTTTTCTTTGTCTAAATTGTTCTGCAAAGTTTCTGATGCTTGCAAAGGAAGCTAAGTCCAGCAACATCGCCTCAACATAAGCTTCAGGAGTCTTGGAGGAAGGAAACAATAATGTTTTTGTGAGAAAAAATGTTGTTTTTGTCTTGTCTTGAGTATGTGACAGAGAAAAAAAACACCAGGATTCAGCAACAGGGGAACTCTGTAGGTGAGCTATGCTGTCTATTTACTAGGCATGGCCTAACAGTAGTATTGTTAGCTGCATGAATGGGAGCGGTTCATAGCATGGCAGACATGTTCAATATCAATTTCATGGAATTTTGTGGGTGTAATGTGTCAGATCCTATCTATTATGTGTCATTTATCTTCTACGTCTGGTTACCCTATCTTTCTTGCTGCCTTTCGTTGTCTCCGGCAGCTTAATGTACCCTTCTTTGTTTTTCCTAATACTTTGTGTAGGTGAAAAATAAATTATTGTTTGGTTGATGGTTTTTGGAGATAATTCAGCACCTTAAAATCTAGAGAGGAAGTAGAATTTAGGCTGACATTCAGTTACTTGTTATTTAAATGATTGTTAAATTGGAAGAAGACAAGCGGTATAAAAATATTTTCTAGTTGGGAAGAACATCTCCACAAAATCAAAACGTTTTTAATTAACTGGTATTTGCCCTGATAATAATTTATGATTACCAGTAAACAAATCAACAGACCTGTGCTGTTCTTATCACTACAGCTGCCTTTCTTGCTTTGTTCATGTCTCTGCAGGCTAAAATCACATGAGCTCCATGCAGTGCAAGTGCTTTGGCTGTTTCAAAACCTGACAAAGGTAAGAAGCTGGATGCTTTCATTTTGTCAATTTCTAGCCTGTGTACATGCATATCCATCCATCTCCAAATAAGTAGATTTTCAGGGGAGGAGGTTAATGTATACAGGTATGGCAATTTTTAACAAAGTTATAATTAATTATCAACCTTATGCCTTTCGGTTTATTTTGTTATATCATTTACTTAGGTGTGCCAGTTTTGGCATGGTCACCACATCAGCACATGATGTCAATTACTGTAGGCGCGTTACAATTCCCCAGCTACCCCTATGAGAGATAGACCACACCACCAGGGTCTACCTCCCCTACTCTTTTTAAAAAGGAGTGCGAGTTCCTTATGTCACCTTCCATTATTTATATGACAGGATGAAGGAGACAAGGCCTGGCTTGGCGTCACCGCCAAGTGATGCAATCATCTTATAGACGAGATCTTGAATCATAGCCAGCATGTTCTTACCAGTTATTTGAGACCCTGGTTGTTGGTGAGGTGGTTGATATTGAGTGATACTGCAAAAGATTTTAGATCTCTGGAGAATGGCAGCCCTGCTTGTTCATGTACCACACATAACTAACAACTTAACAGTGTAAATTAAAAGTATCCCTTTAAACACTTACCAATACCACTATTGGATCCTGTCACCACAGCAACCTTTCCAGTTAGGTTCTCTCCATTTAAAACATGCATGGCATTAGAGTAGCCATCCAGCCTTTTTGTGTGATAATTACTAGGATTTTTTCCAAGCCTTGGATCAGTATGACTTGTACGTCTGTTTACAACACTGCAAACAAAGTATATGATGCAATCCGTGGGTCTTTAAACTATATACACTCAGATAAAAAAGGTGGTGATACCTTAAATCTATACTGAGAAAAAATGTTGAATGAAACTAATTTTTAAGATGTGAAATACTTTCTCACACTTAAATGTTTTCTTGCTAATATTAGTAAGCTATGTTGATGACTTACTCAAAGAAGAAAACATTGCCTTTACTGTCATAATGCTTCTGCCAGCCATGTGGAAGGTCTAGAGAGAAAACAGAAATCAATGTAATGTGAAAAAGCTTTTGCCAGGCGTTATAAAGCCAGTACATGTCTTGTAGTCTATTGTGACTGAAGTAATAATCTTGTGAAAATTAATTTAGTTTCTTATGTGAGCCTTCTTATGATCAATACAGCTTAGGTGGCTATCATTAAAACCACGTTTTTAGTTACAGCTACATACTTATAATACCAACTTAATCACCTTCATTGAGAACAGACCTGACCAATCGGGATGAACATGGACAGGAATTGGGTTATTCCAGAAAAAATCCACACCCCCACGACGGAAGGCACGGTTTTTTGCCCCCCCCCCCCTTCCACCTGGATTTCCAAAACTGCTTGAGCCCCCCTCCCCTCAGGATTTCCAGGTTCAAAGACCCCCTCACCCATCTGGATTTCCATAAAATTGTTAGACACCATAATTTTAATTTACACTCAATGCAGAAGAATACTTTTCGGCACTTAGATGTATTTTTAGGTTCAGAGCCCCCCTTCCGTCTGGATTTCCAGAGCCGTTAACCCCCCCTCCCATAAGATTTTCCAGCATGCCTTCCGTTGTTGGCGTGTGGATTTTTTCTGGAATAACCCACTACAGGACCCATGAGAGGTCTATTGTGCTCAGGTGTGAAATGAGTACTGGCAACATACTACTGCCTGTAACTCCCATCCAGGGAATAGTAGCACTGTTTTTTACAATAACAGAGATTTCACACACTGATTATTGCAGAGCTATGGTCGATGAGAGTATATAGGAAGGAGACCGTAGAAATGATGTGTTGATTGCACACTTTGTTTTCTCTTTCTCTCATGCATGATTTTCCAAAAAAACTGTCAGTGAAACCACTTGCCTGCAGCTTGTGGTTGCGTACGAGTTTTAAACATTGTGATGTAGGACTAGACTGCAAGCGGTCGTCCTTCTTTTCTCAGAGCCACGCACGGTGAGCAAAGAAGTAAGATTATGCAAATTAATGGTGACAAAGGAGGAGAGATTTGGGTGGAAAGAGGAAAAAGGATGACCGCAGAGGTCTTATTATGCTTTGAATTCCTGTTTCAGTGAAACAATGATTCCCGATTGGTTGGCTGCTAGTCAATCTGTCAACGACAAAAACATCTCACTCCCAAAGGGGTCCAATTTTCACTGCAGCTCCAACTTTCATAGCACATACCTGACGATGAAAGGTCAATTTCAACTTGTTTGCCAGTCTATAACATTGGCATTGCGAGGCTCTTTTGCCTATTCACTTTTTTCCATGCTTTCTTTGAGGAACCCCCAATTTAGTAATTTATTACCCTACCATCATTGCAATGCCTCACAGATAACTGGAGAACTAATGTCCCAGACTTAACAGGAGTGAACAGACAATTGAAAGCAAGCTGTTTGTTTACAGGAAAAAGCATGCGAAATGGTGTCAATTATCAAAAAGGAAGGAGCTGGCAATAACAGCAATTAAGGAGGTGTGAAAAAGAGCAAATTGCCAGATCAAAGATCCCATTACAGTCTCTTATTTTTTCTTTGCTCAGGCTTCCGCCGGGCGGCCCTCATTCTTCACGACTTCGCCCCTCGAACCCTAAGGTGTGCTCTCAGTTTACTGTGATTCAAAAAACAAAATAAGAGACTATTCGCAGTCAAATGTCAGCCATTCTGCTGTTGATAAGAGTATAGACCATTGAAAATGGCTGTTGATTTTGTAACACAGTAGCTCAGTGCTTACCAAAACAGTCATAAATTATGGCTGATAGGGAAGCATGCCCTTACTTTCTTAGATATTTTCCATGATGTTTCTTCAAAAACTCAATTCCAGATACTGTTTACTTGCTATGAGTCTAGCCTGTGAAAACTGCCACCTCTGCTCGCTCCTTGCTACTACAAGGACGTTTCACAAGAGAGACATCCGCGCCTCAATGACAGAAATGCCACATTGATTATGTAAATCATTGTTTACATAATTAATCTAGTAGTCATGGGGTTCGAAATGTAAATTTAACAAGTTTATGTTTCTCCTGGTCTATCATGGTAAAATTTTGAGCTACTCAGGGTCATGGTCATGTAACTCTTTTAATTTACAGGACTGTGAAATATGAATAAATACATAAACTTAATATTGTGAACATTATTTCCACACTATGAATAGTACTGTTACTGAACTGAAGTTATTTACCTCCAGTGACTTTGTATCTTTTTCCTGATTGGGGATGTTCCCACTGAGTAGTTTTTGTCAAATGACTGATAATTGAACAAAATACTAGTGAATATATGAGCTTAAGCTTTAATAAGCTTAAAAGTAATCTTACAGTCAAACCAGGTCAAGCGTTCCCGTCGCTAACGAACTAATGAATTCATTAATGGAAAAATGATTTCGTTTGTTGATTCTATAATCCATTCATAAAATGAATAATCCAACAGTCAAATTGTACCTCGATTCAATAATTAAAAGTTGATTTGGTTTATGAACAAAATCTACCTGTTCTTTATTCTTGTCTGTTGTGTTCAATCGTATTTGCTTCCCTTTCCTGCCGTTTAAGATTGCGTTTTTCATTGCCTTTAATCAAAATAACAGCTAGAATAGGCAGACCGCAAACGCAAAGAAACTGACAAAGGCCGAGGATCGAAATCCACCAATCACCACACAAACACTGACCTCAGTTTGACCCCAGTTTGACCGTCGTGTTTTCTAAGAGGTCAGGCCTAGGTCTGTTGCACTGATTACTGGCAGCAAACTGGCGTACATGTAACAGTTTGTTTGGGTTTGAACTTCAGAACTCGCCCGCACTCAACTCTCAGAAAAAAAGAGGAAAAAACAAATTCTGAGGTCAACTTGTGGAAAGTGTAGTTTTTCAAAAAACAGTAATCGAATCAACATTCGATTATGGAATCGAGGCTAAATATGAATATTGGATTGTTCATTTTACGAATGGATTATTGAATCAACAAACGAAATCATTTTTCCGTGAATGAATTCATTAGTTCGTTAGCGACGGGAACGCTTGACCTGGTTTGACTGTAAACCTCGCTGTACACCTGAAAGTCTTAAGTACAGATGTACATCGATTCTGGTGTAAAATAAAGCTAAAAGCTTGGTTATGTTTGGTTTGATTTAATCCAAATCTGTTGCTGCCTCTATGAAATTATTCCTCTGAGGATATTACGCACATGCAAGCCACATGTAGATCGCAGTCGAAGAAAGTTTACTTTTTTTAATAAGCAGTTCAATGCAATGATCGACGTGCAACACTGGCAAAAGGCTTGCTCTCCGTAATAATAAACAAAACAAAGTCTTACTTTACGTAATAGATCCTTCCATCGTCCACTGTTAATATTTCCCATCCAGGAGGCAAATTCTCTTCCGAGATTAACTGATCATTTACAGAAGGTTCATCGAAAGACAGTTCATCTGCCATGTTGGAATTCGTCAAGCGCGGAGGGACCGGGACGGGTTAGCCTGTATAATTACTTGCCTAGTCCCTAGGCCTCATTTTTCCTCGCGGCCAAAGCGTTTCAGGTCATGTGATCCATGCGAAAATGTGTTTCTCGGAAGTTCCCCGCCCGTTCGTCTCGGATACGTCACTGAAACGAATTGACCGAGAGGGACTGGGAAAACGCCGTACCGGGACTAGGCAATGTAATTACGCCCCCCCCCTACTCCCCCTCCCCTCAGTGAAAAATCTACTGTGGGGAGGGTGCGTCTGAACACAGAAAAGCCCGGAGAGAAAGAGTCACCTGGCCCAGGGCTGTAATGTGATGCCTTTGAACCTTTTTCAGGCAGCAGAGGTTTTTTCTAGCCTGCGTAGTTTGGCGGTTTTGGTTGAGCGGGAAAAGTAAATAAAGGCGGGTGAGGCCCGGGGGGACGAGGGCAGAGGTAGCCTCCCCGCAAAGGAGAAATGAATGCGTGACGAACGAACCCCAAAGGACGTCTGCGGGGAGGCTAGGACCATGGATAATAGAAAGACTAGTCTTTCTATTATCCATGCTAGGACAGGGAAACCGTAAGGAGATTGCCGCTCGTTCGCGCGCTTTTTTGCGGCTAGGCGCTCAGTCGTGCTCCCGACAAAACTGTAATGCTCCCGAAAAAACCGCCATGCTACGCAGGATAAGGTCTTTCTTAATTCATTTAGGACCATTTAGGGCAACTGACAAACTCTACTGAAGGTGAAGCTACCCTCTTCCAACCCCATCGCAAAAAATAGATTGGTCCACAGGATTCCCACTTCGATGAAAATGTTCTTAAAAACCTGGCCTCCCTGTCAAAACATTACACACAATAATATGGATTCTTGGCCTCCTCTAGTTGGATTTAGTCTGCAAGAAAGCTCTCCACTACAGTCACCGAGTTCATTAACATAGCTTTTCACAAATTCACTTTAATTAATTTCTTTTTTGAGTGGAAAACAATATTATTTCTAAAAGTGGGAAGATAAGACGCACCATGAAAGATGTGTGTATTGGGTAATGGGTTGGGCTTCAGGGTACCCTTGGTTTAACTGATCCATAACATATTCCTGTATCTGAGTCCATACCCATGTCTTTTATCATAACAGAGCAAAATAAAAGTGCAACTGCTATTCCTTTGATAAGCTTTTATTAATACCTTCAATGTGGAAAAGGGCTAGTCTTGATCTGTACTTTACAGAACTGTACATGATTCGGGCATTAACTCATAGATGCCAGAAAACAACCCTGCTAACAGCTAATTATGTTAACTTTGTTAAACTACATAAATTAATATCACCCATCTTAAAAAGAAGACAAACTTCTTCGTTGTCATCTAAATGAAGGGTAAACACAATGATAAAACAACAACTTTAGTGCTAAGCACAAATAAAAAGCTAAAACTGATAAAAACAACCCATCTGTAAAACTAAAAGTATTATGACAATCTTATGGTACAAATAACACGTTTGAAAGATATGATACAAGCTACAAAACGTCTGCAAACTGATTTCTTTTTACAGAAAACAATACACTGATGTCCACTGCGAGAAGGGTAAACATGTGAACAATGCAGTTCTATTCATGCAAAATATGTTGACATGCCGTGGTACCAAAAGAGCACCCATTTTGAGTGTTCATGACTTCAGATCTTACAGTATTTATACTCTTGATCTGATTTGTACTAGGCAAACCTTCTCAATATCTCATTAAGTAAATGAGCTAAGCACACCATTCTGACAGTCAACTCTGTATTATCTGAACAAAAGCACAGTTACTTGGATGAAGAATGGTACAGTAATTCAATAATGGCCTTTTGCACTGAGCCACCACTACTGCTTCTATGTTTTGTTTTATGATTATGGTCTAATACCAATATTTATTTTTGTGTTAAACCGAAAATAAATACTTTTGACACTGAAACACAAAACACAACAACCAATGTTTCAGTAAATCTAGCCAAATATCTACTGACCAAAACAAATCTAAATCCTACAGGAATCCCCTTAAATATAATAGTAGCAATCAGACAACTTCAGTAACACTGGTCAAGGACATTTCCATGCACAGGTTGATGCTTTCTAAGATACAAGGATTGGTGAACTCCTATCAAATAAAGAGGAGAAACATCACAATATCATTACAACACTTTTGTGTGACAACAAGGTGTCCGTGGTAGCAGAGATCTCAATGTTAAGAAACAGATGCATTTAATTTCTAATGATCACATAACTAGAGGTTTCCCCAACTTTTAGTCATAACAGTCAAAACAGCAATAAAGAGAATTTGTATGAACATTTTTTAGGTCACACAGAAAGGAGAGCCAGAACCTCTGACATGTAATGACACACATAAAGTATAATGCTTTCAGAATTATAAAGCAGCTCAATGTCCCCAAACTTTTAAGCCTGTGGCCCTCACTCACAGCAGGGAACAAGAAGACCTGACTATTTTTAAAAAGCTTTTACTTTTGTTATAAAAGACACTGAGTAAAAGAAAAATATTTTTTATGATGATAACTTGTGACACACACCTGTTTAAGGAAGACTCTTTAAATTCAGTGTCCATAGGTTCCATTTCAAACTGTTCACCTTCATCAGACTGGTACTGTGCACTTGAGCTAACAAGTGAACAAATCATTGTTAACAAGTCACCATAAGACCTTATTTAAAGAAAATGCACTACAGTCCAAATTGTCTGTTCTCAATTAATTTTTATGGTGCTGGTTGAAAACTAGTAGTCCCAATTTAAGCAATTTTTTATGGCAAGAGAATATAATGGTTTGCAAAAAATGGCATAATACCACTGTTTAACAAACAAATGCTGATCCCAAATAAATTAAGGCTTACAGTTTATAATGTCTAATAAAGTAGAGGTCTACTAGTTGGCCAAGTTTGAATTGTTATATTCCTAGACTTTCACTCAACTAAACAGGGACTGCCATTGGTTGATTCTTGGTCACGTGGCCTTGACTAAAATCAAATGTATCCTAATCATGATAGATTAAGCAATGTACCCCGCTCGGGCTACATTACAGCAGGTGATCAAAGCATGGTGGAAAGTGGCGTGACAAAAGGCAGGAAAAATACTGCCAGGCCCTGCCAGTTTTCTTTTTCATGAATGAACACAACGACACAAATATGAAGCCTCAAGCTAAAAAGCAACTATTTTTAAAGTTATCCAAGAAGTTCCCACAAGAAAAACGGCAGCTAGTGGAGGAAAATGATGCAGATAATGTAAGGAAGGTACTTTGTAAATCATTCATTCAGTGGTTTTGAGAATTAAATTTGTGTTGCTATAGGTACTGAGCCGACTGTTTTGGTTCGCTCTGGTTATTCTTTTGTTGCTGTTGAAGTGAAGTCTAGAAATATAACAAAACACTTAATGCCAGGTCCCACGGGAAACCAGTTAGTTTTGTTTTCCCTGGAGTCCTGATGTTGAAAACAAAACTAACTGTTTTCCTTGGGATCTGACATTAAGTGTTTTGTTATATTTCTAGACTTCACTTCAACAGCAACAAGACTTTCTACATCACGTCTATATGTGACTGTCGATGTTGCTGTCTGTATCTCACCAAGTACCATCACTTTACTTATAACTGTTGTTACCTTGTTGCCCTACATGTAAAGAACAAGATTCTTTTCATTTTCTTGTTGTAGAAGAAGTAGTTGAAGGACCACAGACTACCCTCTTCACCGTAAGGATCTGAGTCAAGATCAGGGTTATAACTACAAAAATGAAAGACATACGTGTATGAGGAAATGACTAGTTAATGGGAACTGGAATGTGCAAAGCATTAGACTGGGAACATGCAATTCAATTCACTGGTAGGAGATTTGACTATCACACTACTGCCACTGAAAAGTGGAGTTTGAAGAACCTAAATGGAACAAGTAGAAGCTGTATCTCTGTATCTTCCTCCCCTTTCCTATAGTCTGCTTTTTTGGTAACCTAATCTGTGTAATAAAAAGCATTAATAAGACTACTGACTGTTTTTATTTAATTCAATTTACTTACACAAAAATACAGTTATAAAGCAAAAATTGATTATTCAGAAAATGCTACTTGTCGTAAACTCAAACTCAAAGGAAGAAGGACAACAGGCACGAAAAGTTATTTCTCTCCGTTCTTTGTTGCAATAGTTTGTTCATTTCATGATCTGTTGTTAATGAAAAGCAGATGTGACAAGAGCTTGTGGCATAATATTGAACTCTTCATGTTATACATGTCGAATGTCTTTTATTCACCACAATGCAGGTTACATGTAGATATCACATATTACCTGTCTTGAAAATGTTTTCAACAAAATTGTTAAAATGCTTTTCTGTGGCAATGAAACTGTAAAATGGGAAAAAATTAACCTTTGGGCTTGACTTAAGGTTGGTTCATGCTTGGCTGACTCAGGATTGCATTTGACGCTTGAAATGACCAAACTCAATATTTAAAGTTACCTGAAAATATCACACTCTGCAAGATTTATCTCTTCATCCACAGCAGCCCATAACCCAGTCTTCAGTGCCACAAAAGGCTCCCCAACATTTGCTGACAAATTCCCATTAATTGTGTCTATGACAACTCGCAGATTTGGCTCACGAGAGAATTCATGAGACTTAACATTGCTGAAGTCATAGTCAGGATTGAATGCAGCATTCAGTGTTGATATCAAGTAAAATAACATCTTACGACTGATAGTGTCGCACAATACCGCTTCTTCCTGGCTTCCTGTGCTAAGTGTCCTCGGTCGCATATTGGCCAGAATACCAGGGTAACTGCTGTTTGTGGGCGATATACTACCTGGGGTAGTGGTTTGAAAGTGTGTTTGGGGAGGTGACAATGCTTGAAGTTCATTGGGACCACTGCCTTCATTTAGAGTTTTGTATAATTTCTTGTCACTACCAGCCATCTTGCAAGAATAGCTTTCAATTCTAAGAGAAGATAAATAAACAAAAGAAAGAAGAGTCATATATTAACATATCATCTTATGTAAGAATTTGGTTTCTTTGCCTCAAATGATGTTTTGAGCATATTACACATGCATCAGTCATTTATCAGAGCGGGTCCAGCGATTGTGCCTACTCTGTGGTTTTTATGGTACAGCCTAGGTATGAAGACCAGTCACATGCCCTTTCATCCTTTCAAAGCATTCTAACCAAACATGGCAATGCGTAGTCACTTCTCACACCAAGGCAACACCAAAAGTGGCAAAAAACATAGAACAAATATTTATCTTCCACGTGTTCACTCTTAATCCCTATGAAAAGTAAAGAACACTTTCATTCAGCTACAGCTATAATATATTGTTGTTTTTTGTATTACCATATTACCAGCTATGATGTACATCCACCACATTTTGATATACAACTATTTCTAGAAAAGTTGTTGGAAAAACTATGCATGTGACAATCCCGAAAGGTAATATGGGATATGATCAATACACTGTTCCTGACACTGTAGCCATCGAACCTACTTTTGTTGTTTTCCTTTAGCACTTGCTAACATATGTCCATAGCCCCTCTTGCCATTCTTTGAAATTTCTTTGAAAAAACAGTGAACTAAAAACCACCCACAATACCTTTTGGGATTGTCATGTGCACTTTTCCCGACAACCTTTCTCGAAATAGCTGTATAAACTGCATAAAACCGACAATCCCTTGATTTGCTCTGATGAAGGTCTTATGCTTCAAACTTCTGCTTTAAGTTATTTCTTTACAGAGATAAATTAACTCTTAGATCAAATTTTTCAGTTTCAATAGGACAGGTTCGATATACTAAAATTCTAACATGACTCCAATGCTTTCTGGTCATTTTTCTATATTTGGTTTGGTTTTCCGTGTGCTCAAGTCTCCTCTGGGAATTGCGAGACAATGGAGTCATGTAAAATTTGCTTTTATGACCCTAAAGCCTCGGAGTCGTGTTATTTTAAATACATCGAACTTGGGCCATTTCCCACTGACACAGCACCATACATAACAAGACGCTACGGAGCGTACACTTCGGCGTCGTGGTTGTGGAACTAATTAACTGTAAATGTGGAGGAATAGTAAGAAATCAAATATGGTAAGAGTAAGGCGTTAATTTGTGAAATTATGGGATTTGTCAGGATATTCTGAAAAGAGCAACATCCAAGAGGCCTACTTGCCAAAAACTAGCATTTCGGGACAAATTGTCTCTGAGGTATTAGCCCAGTTATGCTCTGATGACTCCATACAAATCCTTTTAAAAAAACAATTCTCTATTTTTCTTCGTCACATTAGGCTTCAAAAACAGCATAGCAGTCTCATGTACTGATTAAAGATATGTAAGGCATGGGTAAGGAGTCAATTACGTTGAGCATGGAATTGGCTAAAACTCAAAGTCACGAGTTTGAATGTTTTGGGGATAATTATTCACTGACTATCAGCACGTAGGGATGTCGGATTAACACAAGGAAGTTTAACACCAAAGGAACATAGCCTTCTCAGAGCTTTAAAACACAGCATCCACCAACGCAAACTTGACTTGAACTTTGAGTAAAACTAAACAGCCTCTACCAATAATAACAAACTCTCACTTGAACTTCAGATATCTTATGGCTTCCACGAACTTGTAAACACAGAACCTGAAAATCAACCTTCATCACACTTGACTAAACACAGCAGTCCAGCTCGTGGGAAAAAACTTAGTTCGTCAAAAGAACTCGCTTGGAACTTGTATACCGTTTGACATAAGGTTCTAGAAAATACTAAACAGGCGAATAGTAGTAGCTTTTCGACATATTTTATGATTTCAGTGACGGATGCAAATCTGCAGACTCATGCTGAAATGTAAACATACCCTAATTAATTATTCAGGGATAATCCAAAAACGTAGAGAATGTTCGAGAAAGTCACGCAACGCATGAAAGCAATTTTACTACGTAACACTCACCAAAGACAAAATGTCTTTGTGCAGCATTTTGTAACTTTAAATTCATCATAAAACAGTTCGAAAGGAGGGCTCACTCGTGAAATGTTTTTCAAAACTCGAAGAGAAATTTCATGTCTCTGCGCGGCCACGAAATATCCTCTGTTTATTCCTCGAGTAATTAAAGACTAAACTCGAAGTGATCTCAAGATATCACGAAGTAGTCTGGTCTCATTTCGTGAAATAAATGAAACAAGCCGAAAAGTCAAGAACTTGCTCGCCCAATCTTGTCCCGAGACTAGTGCTTCATTTCATAACTAATTTTCATATCCCAAACCACCTTGGGTCGCAGTAGTGCAATCGGCTAATCCCTCAGCTTAGAGTCTCCTCTGATCTGATGGGTCACAAACCCCGGGAAAGCCAAAATAATAATTCTTTCTTCCTCGAAAAAGTTAACGAATAAATCAAAGAAATCGAAGTAATCTCGAGATATCTCGAACTAATTCGGCTCTCACTTCGTCAAATAGCCGAACATCCTCGGAGACCCAGGGGCAGTTGGTGGGGTCGATAAAAAGTTCGTGGTGAAAGTTTACTGTACGATCGAGACGAGCCCCTGGGCACTTACTCTTATCGAACCAGTTCCAGAAGCGTTTGAATTGCTTGCTTCTGATTGGCCAGAAAAAATTTTTTCTGGCCAATCAGCGAAGAGAAGCTGCCGGGTGACTCTCGTGTTTTCTTACACGACGTAGTTTTCCTTATCGATCGCCATAGTTGCGTAGCGCGTTCAACGAGGGAAGTTTCAGAACAAAATGTTAACAACCCGCAAAAATTACAACCTTTAGCACGGCTACAAGAAACAAACACTCTCCGATGAATTTTTAGGGCGGATCTTTCCAAGGTATCGTAAATTTTTATTGCTGATACGATACGCGATGCATGACTTTCACTCCACACCTTAATTTGCTTACATTGTCTGGTATACAACGCCAAGCTTACATTTTAGATTTCCATGTTCGTTGCACGACTTTTGAAACTTTCTACAGCATGAAAACTTCCGTTGCACGGGCACGCAACTAGGTAGATTGATCGCGGGAAATGCCGGCTAGCTGCAGTGCCTTCTTCGTGATTTCGCTTCAAACTCCTTTCGGAACTTTTAAGCTTAAAAGCTTACAGCAGCTGACCGTACGAATTCTGTCGAAGTTGATGGTAGTGTTAACTTTAGATTCGAGGGAGACCTCCAGCAAGCGCTTGAAGAAGGCTTGTTTATGTTTCCTGTGGTACAGTTCAAAGCGAAGCAAAGATTTATTATTGAGAAGATTGTGGAAAGAAGAGATGTTTTGGGGCAATTGATAGAAGAGTCTAACCTTCCAAATGTTGCCTATAAGCTAGAGGGTTTAAAAAACCGTTAGATGCTAAAGGTTATGAATTCCCTGGCAATCTATTGGTCATAGTGATTTCACCTCTCATGTCAATTGTTGAGGACCTGGTAAGTTACGCGAGGTCACTAGGAATTCAGGCCGCTTAATAGGGGAAAGCAAAACGAAAGATCGAGAACTATTGAATGGATAGGGAGCGTTTTCTTTGTTGTACGGAAGCCCGGAATCATTAACTGGGGGACAAGAAATTCAGGGCAATGTTCTCTAAGGAGTTCTACCAGAAGAATCCGGTTGCAGGTACATACAGCTGTTCATTAGTAAGTATGCTGATTTGTTTACTAGTAAGGCCAGGGTGCTACACTGAATTCATTGTGGGGAGTTCTGAAGGGGCAAAATGGGATGTTCTGGCTCTAAGAAAATGGGGTTTAAGTCACTGGCATGCAGGGGGATTCTATCACTGAGAACGGGAAAAAATGTAACAAATGGAAATTGAGGGTTAAACAGTTTCAATGGGATTGATATCCCTTCAGGACCCTCAGGACGGTAGATCTGGCTTTTATTCAAGGATGCTCAGTAATCTTATGTCTAAAAGCTGACAGACACTTCACAAGAATTATCATGTTTTTTGTCACCATTTATTGACAATTAAGATAATAGTCCAATTGAACATTTACATATTATAAATGGAAAAACATCCCATAATACAGATGCCATTACATTAATTTTATTTTTATAATTTTTATAATACTGCTTGAGTTATGTAAATACTAGGGAGCTGTAATATTTTATTTTATTTTAATTTGTTCATAAATGTTTACACTGGGGTGTTTGTTGGTGATTCTTTCTGTCCCAAAGGGTTTGTTTTACTAGGTGGCCAAAAAGTATACTATTATTTGAAAACTATCTAGAAAAATGCAGTGTGCATTATATTGGGGTGCACATTATACACAAGTAAATATGGTATACCTACACATAACATACACTTTTCCAACTTTTCCAACACTCTCTGGAAGAAAGGGAACTGTGCTGTAATTGTCACTTACTGTTTTCAATAATTCTAAGAGTCTTTCTTCTTTTAGATATTTTTAAGTGTACGACCTGCAGAAGAGAAAAAATTTCTTCCTTTTTTGATGACAGTAATCAAAACAGCAGAATCACTCCAAGCCACTTACGTTGTGACATCAGTGCCAATGACTGTTAGTCTGCTTAAGGAGAATCAAGATAATCTGAGACAGGAATTTCAAGAATCAAATCTTCACTGCTTGTATTCTAGAATTTGTATTCTCTGATTGTCTTGTATAAAGGAAACAATAATTGATAATTGTGATAAATTATGTTCCATGGAAAGTATTTTAGAGACACTGTGTGGAATGGTGACCATGCAATGAAGATTTTTCCTTTCTGAAGAGGGTGTTTAAAGATTTAAAAATAATTATCAATGAAGAATATTATTGTCAGATGAGGAGAATTATGATAGGGAAGTTATGAAATATCAAAGAAATGAACCAAAGGAGAAACTGTTAATATTGCAGCATTACTCGTTCAAAGTAAGTCCAATCTTGTACCATCAATTACAAGGAAGTTAAAACAATGGCACTGTGGATGTGTTTGAGGGGGTCAGTAAGGGGAAACATCAAGCCAATCATAGATAAATAGTTTGGCAAAAATCACGTATTACGTGAAATTACTTTTATACATGTATTTGTTAAAAGATATCTTATAATAAAAATTCATTTCTACCATATTAGCCATAATTCTAATCACAGTGAAGATTAACCCAGGTTCTCTTATGCGGTTTAGTAAGCCAGAAACCCAGGTCCTTGAAATCAAGGGCTGAAGTTGGATCTTTGGAAAGTGTCCCTATTCCTTGGTCTCTTCTCCCTGGAATTTCCTTAAGAGCGTTCACTTCTTGAAAAGTTTTAGTGACCACAAAAATATCTACAGACATCCCACCCTTCCACGATTTCTCAACTCTATACCTACTCGTGTCACACACTGCGTGTTTATCGCCCTACAAAACTTTCACACCAACCACTGTCAAACATTTTCGCAAACTCACCTTTATTTTTTTTTTCGTCGCTTATCCGTAAAAACAAACCCACACAGCCTGCAAAAATCGACCTCACTTAACAAGTCAGGATTCAGCACATAACCGGACCGAGATTTCGAACTAAACACAACGGCTGTATTTAAATTACGTACGGTAAGGGGAGTTTGGCGCGAAATCAAGAAGGTGCGTGCAGTGCAGCAAGCCAGCAATTCCCACGATCAATCGACGTAGTTGAGTGGCCCGTGCAACGGAGATTTTCACGCTGTAGAAGTTTCAGAGGTCGTGCAACGAACTTGGGCATCTAAAATGTAAGCTTGGCGTTGTATACTAGACAATGTGAGCAAAGTAAGGTGTGGAGTTAAAGTCATGCATTGCGTATCGTATCAGCAATAAAAATTTACGATACCTTGGAAAGATCCGCCCTAAAAATTCATCGGAGAGTGTTTGTTTCTTGTAGCCGTGCTAAAGGTTGTAATTTTTGCGGGTTGTTAACATTTTGTTCTGAAACTTTCCTCGTTGGACCCGCTACGCAACTACGTAGGAAAACTACGTCGTGTAAGAAAACACGAGAGTCACCCGGCAGCTTCTCTTCGCTGATTGGCCAGAAAAAAATTTTTCTGGCCAATCAGAAGCAAGCAATTCAAACGCTTCTGGAACTGGTTCGGTAAGAGTAAGTGCCCAGGGGCTCGTCTCGATCGTACAGTAAACTTTCACCACGAACTTTTTATCGACCCGACCAACTGCCCCTGGGTCTCCGAGGATGATAGCCGAATAGAACCGAAAACCTACAGACTTTGCTTGCCCAATCTTGTCAAAAAATTGCAACTTTGATACATTCCTGAGCGTCGCGAATCCTTTACTTCGCGCTCCGCCGAAATAATAGTTTCTCTGGTAACCAAGCCCTCCAGACCACTATTCTTAACCATATGAAAAAAGTTTCCTGAAAATCCAGTTGGCAAGCAAATGGAACATGACTTTTCAGGTCATTCCAATTAAAAAAACTTCTGTGAGCAACAGATTTCTGAAATTGTAATGTTTTTCGGTTCCAAATTTTCCAAGCAGAAATTGGTGTTCCATTTCATCGAAGTCACCTTTGATACCAGTTGCAGGCTTTCGTAGCCGTTTTTTTGGGAAAATGGATTTGATTTCTGCAAATGGTGAACGAGATTCAAGGACGAAATTTGCCAGTCCTGAATTTTGCTTACCATTTGCCCAAACCGTGAATCGATATCCGTTTGCCGTTGTATTTTGGTAAACAATCCACTCGATTCCATCAGCGGAAAGTCCCGTGATCGAAGGAAAACAACACATTTACACAATGGCTCAATCTGTATTTGGCTTTGTTTTTCTCTTTATCGATCATTACCCTTCTCAAAAATATATGACAATTAAAATAGGCGAAGGGTTAAAATGAAACACAGCGTTTGTACATAGTCATCGACCAAAAAAAATATCAAATTAAAGGCCTTCGATCAAAATCTGGGAAGTGTAAAAGTAGAAAAATAAGATTCGTTTTAAGCGTTGTGTTCGTTCAAATGGCCGAAAATCAGCTGTGATACTGCACGTTTAACTGTTTAATTCTTGCCTCAGAGAAATGCAGTCAGTTGGATCACTTTGACAGCTGAGCTTATTTGGACCAAACAATAAAGTTAACATATAACAGTAAAACGACAACCGACATCTTACCTTCCATCGATCTGGCTGTCCCCTGTGTTGGTGGAAATTGCTGCACTAAGGGTATCCAACCGGGCGTTTTCCAAAAGCTTCATATTTTCTTTGTGCTTTTGAGATTCGCTTCTTGTCACTTCCGAACGAAGCTAAGGAGGTTGTATTTTCGCAGCTTCAGTTCCTCGACGTCTGTTGATCAAACTTCGCTTCTCGTGAGCTTAACAAAGTCTCTGTTGGTTTTGTAATCGCTTACTAAACGGACTAATACTCGACTTCTTGTTAATCGAATGGTGTCGGGGCTTCCTACCACTTTGGGCGCCAAACTTCTCTACAAAGAAATTGAGGATGGAACTCGGCTTGCTCGGATGCATGTAGAAGATTTCCTCCAGTGATCAAAAACTCCTCAATATAGCCCACAATATTGCGAGCCAATACTTAAGAACCAGGTCTTGGGAAAACTGTGCTTATTGACAAGGTTTGAAATCGATTTGAAACGCGAAAATTTCTTTTCAAAGACGAACAAAATGGCGAATAAACAATGTTTGCAGAAACTGAAAGATGACGTCATTCCTTTAAGATAAAGAAAATAAAGAGAACAAATGGAAGGGAAATGGAATGAAATGTTGTGGACGCGAGACATGGGCAGTCGGTGCTCGTATACAAGTTATTTTTGATGACTCGATTTTTAAAATAATGGAGATCTTTAGATTCGAGGCCAAGAATAACCTGAGATCAGGCTCAATTTTCGTTTCGCTTTGTAAATAACATGCCGGCGGGAAAGGCGAAACGAATTTTAGTGGTGGCCGTAGAGAGAATGAATGAGAACCGCTAAAATTGGGCCTGATCTCAGTTTAGGCCAAGAATGACTACGAAAACGAGATTTGACTTAAAGGTTTTTCGCGTATTCTCAAATATGGACACCCCAGAAAGCTTCATTGTACATTTTTTTACCCAAAAAGTTAGCACTGTACCCTGGCACTGTACATGTTATCTTTACTGAACGAGGTTAAGGCCTCTGCGTGCCGATCGCAAAATGATAAAACTTCTAAGATTTGATAACTTGTCTATCACGTTTTCCCGTCAAAATGACGCTGTTTCCACGCGCGTGAGGAAATTAAATCTCGTACTCGTAGTAGCTCGTAGTTATCCTACAGGTCAATGTCTGATTGACCACTATTGCGTCACAAAATGAATAGTTAAATTGCAATAAGTACGTTTATTAACTCAGAGCAGATTACAACAACGAAAATAATCCATTACATTATAAGAGCGAATAACAAGAAAGGCATGGATGTTCACCAACAGACAAACGAAAGCGTCCCTCGACCGTTTTTAGACGAAGCCAAACTATCAAAAAACGAGAGAGCACAACTTATTGAAAAAGTTGTGGAGCGCCTAACAAGTACAGGATCTGACAAAGTACCTGATTCAAACAGGACTGGAGCTGCCAAAGAAATGGGTATCATGAACAGTTTTGCATGGAGAGGATGGTAACCAAGTTACAAGACAGTGAAAGAAATTATCAGTAGCTCGTCTGACCCGAGGCTGAAATCTGGGAGCACCAATTTTGAACAGTCTGGCATGATCACTAACTGACGCCTCTTGCGTGTCAGTGCGTTATAACAGAAGAGCTAAAGAAGACTTTTAAAACACGAGAGAAGTCCCGGCATTTCCAGACAGTTGAACGCAGAACATTTAAGGTCAACTCTGGCTGGGTTAGCTTTATCAGTTATGAGTTATTTCAGTGTTGCTTGTAACATTGTTTACCCCCCTGATAAGACAAATCCACTCGTGCAACATTTCACAAATAAACGCACCACTAAATATACTGTTGATTATNCTCTGGCTGGGTTAGCTTTATCAGTTATGAGTTATTTCAGTGTTGCTTGTAACATTGTTTACCCCCCTGATAAGACAAATCCACTCGTGCAACATTTCACAAATAAACGCACCACTAAATATACTGTTGATTATTGGTCATATACTTTATTTAACTTTTTAATTTTAGTTGTATCAGCAATATATATTTTTGATTCAAACTGTTTAACTTTCTAAAACCACATCTTTTTTCTTGACTTAGCCTGCGAGCAAGTTCACAGGGGCGCTGGCGCTCCGGCAGCGGCGCCCCACCCCAGAGCACCCCGGAGATCTTGCTCGCGGGCTATTCTTGACTCCTGGGAACTTCTATATTACAAATTGTAATGCTAATGCTGGAATGAGAATGCCAAAAGTAACAGAACAATAGTTCGCAATGATTACACTACTGCATACATTGCGCATGAGCAAATACTCTCGGCCGTAACAAAGTAGCAGTCGAAAACAACAACTGGTAATCAACTGGCATAGCTACAATCTATTTTATTTGAACAGTTTTTTTTCTTAGTTAGCTATATTCAACTATAAATTTTTGGTGTCAAGATTACTATCCTCTTTTTGATAAATTATTCTCCAGCGAAGGTTAACTCCTTAAGATCACACGGCCAAGGACTAAATGTGGATGTGGAAATTGCTGGAATGAATAATAAAAAGAATCCCCATGAGAATTCAGTTTTAAACACTATCGGAATTTCATAAAGAAAGCTGATTCGTTCCCAGTCGTCTCTTGTAAGCGGTCACAGAACGGTCGCGGGAGACTGTAATGGTATCTGGTGCGAAGGGGACGATGGGAAAGTAAAAGAGGAAAGGAAGAGACTCCTTCCCTGTTCATCCTCAGGACTTCCCTTGACCTCGCAGTTGACGAGGGCGCGCGCAAATCAAACAACTGGCTTGACCGATCGCAGAGCGGCAAATTGGGCACCGGAAGTCACTTGCAGTCCGTTCCGCGCGCTTTCTCGTCGTCAGTTGACGTTCCCGTTCTGTTGCTAAATCACCTTAATTAAATAGGAAACCAAGAGACGACTGGGGACAAGTCAGCAAAGGAAGGATTAATCGACAGGAAACAGGACCCCATCAATTGATGGGCTCTTGACAGGAAACTAAGTCCGGCATCAATCTGCAACGGAGAACAGAACTCACTTTATGAACTCTGGTGACCTCGTTATAACGTTTTCAAATTCCGCAAAAGATAACAGGCCGTCTTCGTCCAGGTCTGCTTCCTCTAACAACTGTTGAGACAAAAAGGACAAGCTAAGTTTTCAAACGTTCTGCCAATCGTCATAAACTGATTACTGCCGAAAAGGGAGTGAGAGACAGATGCAGGGTAGTATACTTTCTCAATAGTCCTTCGCTTCTCATTTCCGGTTTCGATAGTGCGAGTGCGAAATACCGGTTGTCAAACTACAATTTTGGACAGAGCAAAAAATAAATGCAGACCCTGATCGCCACTCCCCAAACTGATCAAGGATGATGAAGCCGCGCGATGGTCAAAGCGGACCTTTTCCCATCATTGATTTGGATCTCGCAGGGCGGGTCTTTCTATATGTATTTTGTCCAAGATTGCGGCAATCTTGGACAGAATAAACGAAACGACGGCAAAAAGATATAAATCGAGAGGAAAAAAGTTTTGACCCATTTTGTAAAATCAAACGAAAGCCAATGGGACAGCTATAGATGGTAACCATATGAATTGTGCCGTTTATACAATTTCAATTGAAAAGCATCAAATGAATTAACCTGAGATCAGGCCCAATTTTAGCGGTTCTCATACATTCTCTCTAACGGCTACCATGCCATGTCCGCCGGAATGTAATTTTCAAAGCGAAACGAAAATAGAGCCTGATCTCAGGTTACAACTGAATTCACTACCCGAAAAGTAAGCACGGTCAAGTAATCACCTGAGTAATTAGCACACGTGACTAGATTTTTACCAGAAAATGCACGACATCGTTTACCTTATCAGTGACAAACTCCATCTCTTCGTCGGAAAGTTCGTTTGCTGTGATGGCTCGCAGGGTCAATTTTAAGTCTTCCTTACCGAGATAATTGTCGCCATCAAAATCTTGATAAAGCAGAAATAGATTTTAAAAGTAGAGCTACCCAGTTAGTGCCTTATCTCAAAAAGTGAGCAGATCAAAGTGAAGTGAGGAAATACGGTGCCAGGGAAATCTATAATCCGAGAAAGAATTTAAAAGAGAAATTCGCTGACTCATATCTAGATATTTTAGTAAAAGAAAATGACTATAATAGAAACACCTATCATTATACAAAAAGTTGGGCTGGCTAAATAAATAATTAAGTGTTTATAAAGTTTCAACTGATTTTCTCTTAAACTTCTAAATTAAGTTATCGTTGCCTTAACTCTGTGTTTATGTAATAATACTTTACTGTAACAGTTTATTAACCCTCAGTTTTTCGTCCGTCCCACCTAGATTAGCATGCAGTTGCTACCTGCGGGTCAGTGTAATTACTTAAGTTAAATTCTTGAAATAAAGTTTTTTTTTGTAATTGTTGTTGTTGTTAAGTCATTGCCCGGCCTAAAACGAAGGACAACGCGTATGCTAAGTATTGGCTTTGCTGCATCTTTTGAGATATTTGTATGGATTGCCTTCTGGACTTCCCACGTTTCCTCCCAAGTTAACAGGTATTTTCGGCCTAGAAAGTAGTCAACACTTTACTGTCGGCCAGAAGTTGGACAAATCACCTGAACTGAGCAAAAATGCTGAGAATGATGCCTTAATCGCAACATGAAGTTAAATGCGCCTCAAAAAGACTCAAACGCGTATCCATGATCTGGGGCCGGGTTGGGGTAGTTTGCGCTATTACGACTATTGACTTCTAGTCTTACCAAATATCTTGAATGCGTACTTTGCCTTCAGTTCTCTTGGTGCCTGTAAAATGAGAACGAAAAATTCATGACTTTTGTGCTTTTGGTGAATTGTCATCAACCTTACTTACTAAGATGATAAGTCGCCTTCACTAATCAGCAAGAGATAGAGTAAATAGTCTAAACAGTTTTCCAGTTGATGTCAAACTCACCGATTCACTAAGAACTGACATCATGTTCAGAAAGTCGTCAAATGTTAAGGCACCGTCTCCTTTCAGTGAAAATACCTCGCAGATCCTCCTTCTAAAGGGATTCTCCTGCCAAGAAACAGTGACTCGTCTTCAATTTCTTTTAAAAGTTTTGATAGACCTCGACTCGGTCTCAGTCCATAAAAAAGGCAAAAAAAAAAAGCTTGGCCGATGTTCAGCTTTCTGTGACCTCACCCTTGGTCAATAACGCATATATATATTTCATGTTTCCGCGCCTTGGTGGCTGTAAAGACCTTACACGCCTGATCTACCAAGCCATCTTAAAGTAAGATGTAACTGAACTATCAGGTTTCTCAAAATAGTGGGCCTTTTAATAGGAACAGTCACTTAATAGGATATATCGTTATTGGGATAATGACCTTGGGACTCCGGGCACAACCTTCAGTCTTTCACCAATTCAGCCGCGATGGCCTGTGTTCAGTCGGCGGGCCAACCCATCCTTTTCCAGAAATCAGCTCGCACCTTACTTTTGATACACTAAAATCATTAATCGCTAATTTAGCTTATCTTACTTTAAGTTCTGGAAGCTGCTGAAGGAATTTATATTTCAGTTTAGGCTGGACGTCAAGTTCTGTAAAATCCTTCGGAATAACGTCTGTGTTCAATTCCCTGTATCTTTTGTGAATTCTGAAAACAATAACAAATGAGAAAGTCTATCCCGCAAACAGAAGAGGGAATAAAAGCCCTGGCTTTAAACTTCTTGGAGTAATTCTTAAGCGTAATAACAATTATTAAAGGCATGAATTGAATAGCAAATAGTCAAAGGCCGACGGAAACGGGCCACCCCCTTCACATGATCGCAAAGGTATGTGAAAGACTGATGCGTTGATCTAGTCGAGTGGTATCCAAGAGATTCTCACATATATAACAGTTAGTAAATATAATGAGTAAAGAACTTGGGTCCCAAGCCGTCTCATCAAGCCTACATGCGTGTAATATATATAATAACTGAACTGGTCCAATGTTTTTCCTACATGGTGCTTTCCATCGGGAGGAAGTTTCGACTGAGAAGTTGAAGGTGCATCTGATAGATGGGGTTATATGAAAATTTATAGTACCACTTTACAGGGATTTAAATCAGGTTATCACTGATTAGCCTAAAATGATTGCATGGCCACATTTGTTGTGTAATTGTCCCCTGAAACTCATTACTTTCTTTCGTTAGCTTTAACTTAAAAAAAAAGATATAATTAAAAATGAACAAAATTGTCATGAGTATCCAGTATGACGTTAATGTAAATCTTTTCAGTTTTCGAGATCTATAAATTTGGCCGGCAGGTTAAAAGCATCAATTAATTTTCGAACAACTTAGTCTGATATATCATGAAAATAGATCAACCTTCAATCGCGTGAAATATAACTGTTTATCACTCTAGTACATATAATTCTGTGTACTCTTGTACCTTGTGTTTAATTTGTTTTAGAGAAATGCATGAGATCTTAATTATCCCAGCAGTTATTCTAACTTACCTTAATATATCAGCTCGGTTAAAGTAAGTACAGTCCTGAAACGATAAAAATAAAATACAGAAGTAAAGCTAAACTATGTGCCACTTCCAGATAGATGTTTACGCTTGAACT